TGCCTTGTTAGGTTGTGATCATTGTACCTCTTGCTCTATTATAAAACTGCATGTGAACTGGTCTTGTGACCGCTTCCTTGTGCTCGGAATTTGTGTGGAATCCTCGAGATCCACCCTGAGCTTGTTTGCCTTGTTTTGCCTTGACTGGTCTTGTGACCCCTAGGTCTCCCCCACTTTGCCTATGGGGTTGTGTCAAACATTGTATGTTTGTGTGGTTCTAGGCTGTAGTGGGTCACACCATAAGGGGTACACCAGATTAGGGTTTGACATATTTGTACTGTTGTTCCTGCTAGTCACTCCTCATTCTCGTTTTTCATTCTGACAGTAGGGCGGCGGGTGGGCCGCAGGTAGGGCGGCGGGACGGCCGCAGGTAGGGCGGCAGACGGCCGCAGGTAGGGCGGCGGGTAGGCCGCAGGTAGGGCGGCGGGACGGCCGCAGGTAGGGCGGCAGGTAGGTCGCAGGTAGGGCGACGGGACGGCCGCAGGTAGGGCGGCGGACGGCCGCAGGTAGGGCGGCGGGTAGGCCGCAGGTAGGGCGGCACGACGGCCGCAGGCAGGGCGGCGGACGGCCGCAGGCAGGGCGGCGGGATGGCCGCAGGTAGGGAAGCGGCGGGGCCGCGTCGAGGAGGCGGCGGGGCCGCGTCGAGGAGGCGGCGGGGCCGCGTCGAGAAGGCGGCAGGGCCGCGTCGAGGAGGCGGCGGGGCCGCGTCGAGGAGGCGGCGGGGCCGCGTCGAGGAGGCGGCGGGGCCGCGTCGAGGAGGCGGCGGGGCCGCGTCGAGGAGGCGGCGGGGCCGCGAGGGGAAGGGCGACACGGAGGGTCGCGAGAAAAAAGAACGCGCGCCTCGGGGCGCGCTTCGGTGGGCCCTAGAGAACAGTCCCTAGGATGGGACCTGCTCTGATTCCATGTGAAATTAGAAACGTGAATGAATTGACTACGAACGAGGTGAGTACAAATAGGAAACCCTAATTGGGTTGTACCCCCTATGGGATACCCCAATATAGCCTACACAAACAAGTAAGCTATATGTTCTGACAGCGGAGTCGCTCACGACCATACCCATCCGTGGTCCCCGAAATGGTCGCTCATTCCGCCTGCCATTGTGTGTGCCATTGCTTTTTTTTTTTACCACTGACTTGACGGCCGGCACTTGGATTTTCTCTAGAGGCGTAACGTCGGCGTCGTGATAGTAGGCAGACGTGGTCGCCGACCTCTCGTAGGATTGTCTGCTGTCCCGACCTGCCAGATACCGCCGACATAGAATACGCATTTAGTAGTTTATCGACCTCACCACGCCGACTTCCCATCGCCCTTGGTCGCCGTATCATGGCCAGAGGACAGCCTCGTTCGACACCGCCGCAAACCAACCCACCCCCCGCCGATGTCGACATGACGGACGTTCCGAACCCCGCTAGCCAGGGTGAGGACGTCCGCCCGTTAGACCGTATACCGACCAGTAACCCCTCGTCGACTTTGCCGCTGCTTTACGATCTCGACGCCCTGGCCCAAATCCCGCAGGGAGAGTTCACCAAGGACGTTCCGCCCGCGCCAATAAGGGAGTTCATGAAACCACGCAAAACGTCGACGCCGACGGATGCAGGGGAGGCCGGGCCGTCGTCTGTGCCGGACGGATCGGGCAACCAGGATGAGGACGATTATTCATCAGCGAGCGACGAGGACGACGAAGACGACCCGCGGCCCCGACGTGGTGCAGGTCCGCGCACGTTGGAAGAAAAACTCAGGGGGGAACGTGCGTTCATAGAGGAACTGTTGGACGAGAACGAGCTTGAGGATCTGCTGCACACGTCGGTCCCTCGAGAAATGTGGAAGGCGGCCGACTTCGTAGAGGAAGATATGGTGTACGCGTGCGTCGACGTGCTCGTGATGGAGGCAATGCGCCACCTGAAAACCATAGAGGCCAAGAGCACGCTCAAGTCCTACACCTCATGGATATACGACTACAAAAGGTGGACGGCGAAGATGCTTAAAAAAATTGGCGACAAACTGCCGACAGCAGAACAAATGAGGCACGTCGACGAGATAGGGCACTGGACACACAACAACAAGAGCAAGGATTGGGACAACGAGAAGGTGGTCAAGCGGAAGCACATATGGCTGCACGGCCCCCGGGTCACTAGTACGCGACTGCGCGCCTACATCAAGTTCATGAGGCGGGAGTACAAGATCGACGCCGACACGAACGAGCCAGTGCGAGCCTACACGGTGCACAGGATCCTCGGCCGCATCAAGGCCTGCCAGATGGCGGCGAGGGTGGAGGCGACGCTCTACAAGGAGAAGGAGTTGGGCATCATGCGGGAAATCTCGGTGGTCCGGTCGGAGGTGCGGGTCATGGTCCGCACGAAAAATCAGAGGGACCTCGAGTAAGTTGGCATGCATCGCCGTGTTATGTCGCCATCGATTTGTGTTCCTCGCCCTAATATTCATATCCATATATTGTTATGTCGACAGTAAATGCGCCGACCGTCGACGCGGCACCATCGGCGACACATACACCGCCGAACAGTTCCGCCAGATAATGACGAGGGTGTTGCCGGCTTGGGCGGCGTCGGCATGGAGCCCGCATTTCACCACACCTACGCAGACGCTGTGGAGGTTTCTTCTCATCAAGGTGCTCACGCTGCTCTCCCACCACAGCCTCATGCGCGGTGCAAGCATACGCGAGATAACGCTCCCCGACATCTTCCTGTACCGACTGGCGAGCACCTCGTCGGTGAACCCGGATAACCAGCCGGTCGTCATGGTGGTCGCCGCGCGGAACTCGAAGACGTCGAAGGATGCGCGTCTTCAACAGAGCTACGCGGCGCGGCACCTAGAAGCGGAGTTGTGCGCCGTCGGCGAGACCGGGCTGTGGTTACACTTCATCCTCGACCAGATCGGCCAGTTTCACGGCGTCGACCTCATTCCGCCGGTCGACACCAGCACACGCGAGCTCTGGTACAAGAAGCACCTGTTCTTCGCCCGCAACGACCCCGAGCAGGGCGAACTCTCAGCTCCCAGCCACCAGCGATGGACGAGGCAGATGTGGAAGACGAATGGGGTGTTCTGCAAGCGGAACGTCCATGCCGCTCGGGCGGGCGGGGCGCAGGAGTTGGCCATCCAAGGTACGCCTCGCGCCGAGATAGCCGAGCTGGGTCACTGGGCTCTCGACAAGATGACTCGAGCCTACATCACATCCATTCCCGTCGGCGTGGTGATGAAGAAGGCCGGCTATTCGGGATTCACGCAGGACTACTTCTTGGGTCGCAGTAGGGTGGAACCGGGAGACGAACTCCTCGCTCTCATCGCCGAGCACATCTTCCCCGGCGTCGACGACCTCCTCAACAAGGTTTGTTTATCGGTGCCGACCAAGCTTGCATGGTACTGTCCTATCCACCACGGAAATAACCCACGTCTGATGTCTAACTGCAGGCAGAAGAACTCGCGAAGAAGGGGTCCAACGCCGACGTTGCGGCCGTGCATTTCTGGCGCACCCTTCTGATGTTCCGCCGCATTGTCGCCGAGGACCTCGCGGTGAAACTCGACCGCACCCCTTGGCACCCGTACATCCAGTATTCCAAGCTATGCCGGATTCCCCTCTTCCAGCACTGGGCGAAGAGGGTCGAGAAGACCGACACCGACACCATAAAAAAGCGGCAAGATCCAACCCTCATCCAGCCAGAGGTAGGTCATCTTTTATGCCGACGTCACGATGTTATCTATGACCGCTACAACCCCTTATCTGCACCGTTATTCGCCTACCATTGCAGGAGATATCGGTCCGCCATGACGCCCAGTTCGCGGTCGTCTCCCTCACGGAGACGCTTAAGCTTGAGAGGGAGCGGTCAACGGTCCAGAAGCTCGACCTCGAGGAGAAGATCGAGAATCACGACGCAACCATCGCGTCGCTCACGGCCGAGATAACACGCCTCACCGAGGCTCTCCGCGTTTCAGAAGCTCGAAGGATGCCGGAGGCGCCGCCAGCTGCTAACGACCAGTCGCCGAGCGACGGTGGCTCCGCGGAGTCGGCAAGCAGGGGTGGAGGAGCCAACAAACCCAATAAACCCCCACAGACGGTCGAGGAGGCTAGCTACGAGCTGAACGTAGTGCAGCCTTGGCGGACTGCAACGACCGTCAAGGACGCGTGGCGCCTCTGGACCTCGTGCACCAGCGCCGACACCCGTCGTCTGTGCGACAGGTTCAGGGAGCCGGGATTCGTCGACCGCCACACCCTCCTCGACGGAGCCTCGCAGGGAGCACACGGGAAGAGGGTGCGCCGCATGATGAAGGTCATCGATGCGGTGCGCCAGCTTCGCAGGAGCGACGGCGAAGCTGACACGGAAGCCACCGTCGACGCGCTTAACAAGATAGCGGCGCCTGGCATTGGGACCTTCGCGGATGCCCTCACGGTGCTCAACGCGGACGCCGTAGCGACCTATGCTGGGCAGGGTAAGGGCGTCAAAGGGCTCGGCAAGACGGAATTTTCCAAGCTTCGTGTCGCCTGTGCGTTCGTGGCGCGCGGGTTAAAGCCCGAAACGTGGGTCGCCGACCTGTTCCCGGACACCTGGGTTGAGCAGATGAAGAAGACGTTGGCCGATCTGGCCCGCGAAAACGACGCCGGGCAGCTGCCTCCGACCAATAAGTCGACCAAGCGCAAGAAAACCGCTTGAATGTTCCCAGGCCTCCTGCTACTGTGGCCTGTTGCATGTTGTAGATGTTTATGCAGCATGCCTATGTTTCATACTGATACTGATGTCGACTTTTTGTTTCTCACAATGATCCTGTTGTTCTTGGCCTAGCGGGGCATTCACGTGTCGTTCAAACTGAAGTAGACAATCATTACTAGCTAATGTGTTCATTACTCATCCTACGTAAAGTAGACAGGCACGCAAAAAAAAAAACACAAAGAAAGAGCATCAAAGGGATCCGATAGCCAAAACAAGGAAAACGATATCGACCATTTCATCATCGAGTCCACGCAGCACTCAATCTTAGCAGGCCGTCGACTAGGCCGTCGTGCTGTCCTTCTTCGACATCTTGCCCTTCTCCGTGCCGCCCTTGGTCTTCGTCCCCTTCTTGCCCCTCAGACCCTTCCTCCCCCTGTTGTCAAGATCGGCCTTCATCTGCGCGTCAATCGGCACCGCGATGTCCCTCGCTCTTAGTTTCGGCCCGGCGACGGGGCACATTCCCCAAAACGCCATCGTCTCAACCGTCGCTCTAGCGATAACGTCGGTATCTACTCCAGCATTCCCCCCCGGATAGACCCTATCAAGGGCGGTCCTCTGGAGTGCTGGCGCGACGTTGTAGGCAACCTCTCCCAGGGGGCGGTCCCTGTTCATCTCGGCTTTCAGCACCGCCTCCATGACTTTTCCGAATACATCGGCGGTCGCCTGGCTCGCTCCGCCGATGATCGCCGCCGACTTCCCTTCTTCCACAGCATCCGCCAGCTGGGCATCGCCGTTCTCGACGAAGCACCACACAGCGCATGCGGATGCTGCTAACGCCCATGCCGCCATATCCGTCTTCTCCTCCTTGTCTCCCTCCTTCTTCGCCGCTGCCGCAGCGGTCTTCCCATATGCAGCGCACATTGACACGCGGCCTATCATCGCCGACATCATGAACGCCGACTTCTCTCGGCCTTCCTCGGTGCTAGCATCGACTGGGTACCATATCACTGGCAGGAGCGCGGCGTGGAGACAATCGCCTGTGGACTTGTAATGGCGATACGCGTCGAGGATCTCTGTCAGCCTGTCACGCCACCACAAACAGGGCGAACATTAGTGACAACGACAACGACATCGACTTTGAATCGGAGGATTACCGACTTACCGTGTCTTTGGAAGGAGCGTACCCCGGGCCCACATCACCGTCCACATCCCTGTCGGCAAGATCCTGACCTCCTCCCACACCTCCTTCCACCTCTCCAATTCGGCGCTGTCCAAGCCGGTGAGCTCGGTCATGAGCACCTTGCTCACAAAACCGTCGTAGACGACGTACGCGATGGAGTGAACGTACGCGAGCTCCATCTTGTCCCGCGACTTGCCGATGTATCGATTGATGCCGTGCACCTTAATCTCGCCGACCCACCCTTGCTTGTCGCCCGAGGTATCGTGTCGGATGCCATGACCCCTCCTCTCCTTGCCCTTCCCCTCCTCCTCCTCCTCCTCCTCCTCCTCCTCCTCCTCCTCCTCCTCCTCCTCCTCCTCCTCCTCCTCCTCCTCCTCCTCTTCCTCCTGCTCGACCTCCTCCACCTCCTCGACATCCTCATCCTCCTCCTCCGCCTTCCTCTTTCCCTTTCTCCCCTTCGAGGAACCCTCGCCGACCGCCTTCTCCTTCCCCTTTCTCCCGGTCGACGCACCTTCTCCGACCGACTTGTCCTTCCCCTTCCTCCCCGTCGACGTACCCTCGCCGGGCAACTTCTCCTGATTCTCCCCTTTCCCTTCAACCTCCCCAATGCCGCCTCGATCTTTGTCCGCCGCCGTCTCCGTCGCCATCCCCTTCTGTTTATCCGCCGCCTTCACCTCCGACTTCTCCCGTGTCTTCCTCTGTGAGCCCGCCTTCCACTTCCGTTTCGACTTTCCTTCACCGACCGCATCACCGGTCGCACTAGGCTCTGCCGCGATGCCGACGAGTCCCGCCGAAGGCTCCACATGTTCCGTGTCGGAGATGGCCAGGGTTCGGGGATTGGCTGCATCCAGATGGGCCTGTATGGCAGCGATATCAGCGTCTGCGGGGACCTCCTCAACGGCGCCGCCGCCGGTGGCAAGCGCGGCACGAACGCCCTTCTCCGCCGCCTTCTCCACATCAACTGCCACATGGGTGGGTGGTGCGACATTCGCCGACGACGGCTTAGAGCCAGAGCCAGAAGCCTGCTGAGTCCTCTCAGTCGACGCTAGTGCGCCCAGCTGGGCGCGCAACAACGCGGACTTTGGGTCTGCAGGAGTACGGGCGGCGACGACCGGCACTACACGTGGCCCACTGGCCGATGGGACGTCGACAGCAGGGGGGGCCTGTTGAACAGCCCTATGGCCGGCTAGGAGCCTGAGCTGCTCCTTGAGCGCGTCCGCAACTGCCGCCCCTTTTCCCGCGCGGCCAGCCTTGTCGGCAGACTGTACGTCGGCATGGCGCGGGACGTCGGTAGGTCGCCTGGCAGACGGTCCGGTCGGATGGCGTGCACCCGCGGGAGACTAGTGAGGAACCGCTGACGCCTCCGCAACCCCTGTCTTCGGGCCCTGGCCAGCTTTCGCGGACCCGCCTGGGGCCGTTTTGGCGGCGGCCTTCTCCTTGTCGCGCAGGCCTTTCACACCGCTACCCTGTCGTGGTGGCTTAACGCCGACCGAAGGCGGAGCCATTGGCAGTGCGTCATCAGTGGCATGCTCGTCGGCGGGACCCCCACCACCATGGCCCGTGCTGGCCGCTCCAACCTGAGCCCAGTGCTTCCTGAGGATGTCGACCACGCTCTTCCCCGACTGCTTCAACGAACTGCCGTCGCCGGCTCCCATGCTCCCATCGCCGGCGACGCGAGAACCAGCCGCTCCCTTGGTCCGCCTCGCGCCCGCCGAATCGTCTCCGTCCCCCCCCCCGCCGCCAGACCCCCCGCCTCCCTTGCTCCGCTTCGTGTTCGCCAAATTGTCCCCGTTGCCCCCCCCGCCGCCTCCCCGCCTCTTGTGACCCAGCTTCAAGCCCTTCGTAGGTTGCGCTTGGCCGGCGTCGTTTGCCGACGGCGACGACCCACGCCGAGCATACGCCACCGTGCCGACGACCTCGGCCATTATCTTCAGTCCGGAGGCGAGGAAGGACTGCTGCGTGGTCTCCGTCACCGCCTTCAGCACGTCCTCCTTGAAAGACTTCAGGAAATCTTCCGGCAAGGCCTGCGTTGGGCCGGTAGGCGGCGGCGGCTGGACTAGGCGGGGCGAGACGGCGGCGGCAATGTTGGTCTGCGCGGCGCCGATGTATTTGATGAACGACTCCTCCAACCCCTTCCTCGCCTCGCCCACCTCCGCCGTCACGTGCTCGGTCACTGTCTTCACCGCGGTCGCGCGTGCGACCGCCGCTCGTCCCTTGGGGTCGTCAAGATCCAGCAGCGTCTGCCTTGCTAGCTCGGCGAAGGACTTGGCCGATTGAATGGCGCTGTCCATGTTGTCGGTGAGGCCCTCGGTGATTGTGGTCGCCATGGTCGACGTGGCCTCTTTGAGGCGCTCCTCCGATTTCCGGTCGGTGTCGGCGACCTGGGCGGTCAAACCCTTCACCTTCTCGAGGAGCCCAGCTAATGCCGCCGCCAAGCTGTCGACCCGCCCCGTCTGCTCACCGAGCCGCCGTTCAAGGAGTGCATTGTCTGCACGCAATCGCCTGTTCTCCGCCCTCAGCTGATCGACGACGTCCAGCCGCGCCTGCCGCCCAGCCGCGGTGGAACCGGGATGACCGCTCGCCGCCTTCTTCCTCCTAGACCGCTCCCCGCCGGCCTTCTCCGCGGTGGCATCGGTATGCACATCCACGCCCCTCTGCTCCGGGACCGCGGCGTTATCCCCTTCACCGACCTCGACCATGCCACCACCTCCGTGAGCCGCCTCCACGCCGACCTCGCCGATATTCGCTGTCGCACCCTTCCCCTCCCCTTCGTCGTTCTCGACATCCGCCGATCTCCCACCCGTTTCCTCCGCTCCTCCGACAACGTACCCCTCCGCCATTTCCACGTCCTCCACCTCTACCAACTGCTCCTCCTGGTGCTGCCTCTCGTGCTCGTGCGTCTCCTGCTCCTGCTCCTCCTCCGACTCCGAGCCCGACCCCGATCGCGACCCCGACCCCGACGACTCCTCCGAGCCCCCCTCACCCTCACGTTCCTCCTCGCGATCCTGGACCCCATCATCATTCCCGTGAACAACCTCAGTCCCGGTCACCCCCTTTCCTGCGGCCGCATCGGCCTCGTCGACGCCGACTCCCGACTTGCCACGCGCATCAGCGACGTTCGGGGCGACCCCTACTGGTACGGATGCAGAATGGACTTCCTCGCCGTCGTCGTCACAGGCGTCGGCAGCAACAACGGTTTTCCCCGACCGTATGAGCGGGACTTGCTTCTTGATGAGGGCTACCATCTCGTTCCGCAGCGCCTTCAACCCCGAGACGGTGGGCTTGTCCATGCTGGTGGCAATGCGACGGAGGTCGCCGGTCAGGCGCTGGAACCGCCTCACAACCCAGATCAACGCGCTCATTGCTAGCAGGCCGGAGCCCGCGTCCGAGTCCCGGACGGTATCGGGAATTTTCTGCATACAACAGTGCAGAGAGCAAGGATGAGGGCGGCGTAGATGTGACACCATATGACGGCGAATCGTCCGGAACTCACATCTCGAAGGGGTTCGTCGCAGTCGGCGAGCCTCTCCTGCACCTCGTCTTCGGACGGCTTCGCCCACTCCCATTTCCTACCCTCGCGCCGCAGCTCGGCCAGAACAGCGGTCCGGAAAAACCTGCAAAAGCACGGCAAGGACGGTCGGTTAGCACGGTGCACGCGCCGTGTCGACAATGTATGCGATGTCGACTAAACTATCGAGCTCACTTCAGCACGCGGATCGCCTCGTCGCGGTGCCACTCCTTCACTGTCTGCGGGTCGGCGTGCCGGATCGAGGTCCTGACCTCCTGCCCCGAGGCATTGAACAAATCGCCGGGGCACTGGATGAGAACGACGCTGCAATGTGCTCCCGGAAGCGGTGCGATGCTGCACAGACAAGGCACGTCGATGGCGCTCAGAACAAATCACCGACACAGGTTGCAGCACACAGCAGGACCTCGAACCTGCTCACCTCGATATCAGTGGGATAACCGCCACGTCGGCGTCGAAAATCGTCGCAAAGCATGTGTGGTCGTCCTGACCCATCGCAGCCCGAAGCCGGCCGACTCCTATCGACCACAATCGCTCGCCTGCATCCGTTGAGCGGATCCATGCGTGCCTGCACGCATGCATGATTACAACAAATTAGAGAGGTATAGGTGCGCGACACGACGGTGGAATGACGGGAGCCGAACGACTTCGGCACAACTCAGCGTCGTCGACGACCTAACGCATTACGTCGGCATCACCGATGTGATGTGCTTGAACTCTAAGCCCGTCGACATATACTACTGGACGCATTGAAACCCCGCCATGGCCGACCAGCATGGAATAGGCCCGTCGACGACGACATCTCCATAAGACACTCACTTGAGACCGAGTCCCAAGCAACGGGCGTTAAACTCTAGCATAGGGTTTGTCAGAACGGCGTAGTCGTGCTCTTCGAACTTGGCCGTGTGTCCTCTACCGATGTCTAGATGCAGGGGGAAATCTAGCGAGGTCGGCGCCGCTTCGGCGGCTTTCTGGCCGGCTGCCATGGCGGGAGAGCGAGGATGCTAAGGGAAGAAACGGTGGGAGTATGGAAGGCGCCGAGGTGGGAGGAAAAATGAAAGAGAAACGAGAACGCGAAAATGAGGGGCCAGTCCACCTCCAACGAAGAAAAGCCAGGCGGAGCCACGCAGGCCCGGTTGAGCGTCGCCCAGGGGGCCGTGATGCCTGGCTCGGCAGGGCTCGTGCACAAGTTGCGTGGCACAAGTGCACCCTCGCCGCCAAGCCAACAGGTCGACGTCACGTCCCCCGGCCTCGGTCGGCCAGGGGACGCAACTTCGCGTGGGCGCGGTGCGACGTTTCGGCACCACGTGTCGATTTCGCCGAGGGTCGCGAAAGTCGTGCGCCCCGTGGCGAACGACTCAGTTTTCGCTCGAGTTTCGGGGGGTACGAAATGTCTCATGCATGCGATGCGAAATGACGGGCGAGCACGTGGCGTCACCGCAACGGGTCGCGAAATAGTCGAGCGACCCGAGGGGAGCCCCCGATTTTCGCGTGGACCTCGCCTGCCCGTACGGGCATGCCGCGATGGGTTACTAGGACCTCGCGGGCACGAGGGAGGGGTGGGCTGCCTTCGCGGCAGGGTTACTTTCCCTCGCCCGAGGTCTCGCCAGCTCGCCGCCCCCACCCGGTAACGTGGGTCACTGTTCACTCTCGGGGGGGGGGGGGGGGGTTGCGGGGCGGCGGTCGTGCGCCCGGCCCAGCCCAGGGCCAGGCTGGCGGGCCCGCACGCGCGTCACTCGCCCGCCTCGTCAGACCCCTGTCCGTCGACCCCCCTCGTCGACCCTGGCAACTCGGGTCCGTCGACCTGATTCCGCTGGGATCTTCAGGAAGTGCCTCTTTCTACTGGGAGAATATCATATTGGGGCCGAACAGTGCCAGAAGGGTGATCAAAGTAGGGCCGGAAAATCTCGACCGTAGGATTTCAGCCCGGAGCTGACCAAACGACTCGGCAAACAAGCCGAACCATAAGTAAAAGATAATTGCTAAAAGAAACCTAATTTTGAGTTCTTATTATTTATTGAGGGTTTTGACCGCCGACTACTACAGCGCGCGCGTCGCCTTCTTTTGGAATTGAATTCGGCGTGTCAAATCGTGATTATGTAACAACATAATATATTCTGGGTGATGCATACCACCTACCCAATCGGAAACCACAGAAAAAAATAAAATATTACCCATTCGGAAACGGATGCGACTCGGGGGGGGGGATCAACCCTAAATACCAGGAAGGTCCATTATTCAGGGTTTATCCATCCCGAAATTGCATCCAGGTTCCCAATGAGTTCTAGTTTTTTTTTGCTGCCCTAGAGTTCCCGGTAGAGTCGGCTCGCTAAACGACACGCGAGCGAAAATGCGAGCCGGTACATGCCACTAGTAACAAAATTACGTGCAATAAATAAAGACTCTTTGTTGATTCCTCTGTGAGGATCTAGGATCGAGCTCACAAAAGAGAATTATAATTGAATGAATTCAATGAATCACCTGGGTACAACACGATGCTATATATAGGCTCGACACAAGGCCCCGTAACCAAGTGTTACGCGAAGGTTCCGCGGGCCGCGTAGCGTCCCGAACAGATCCTTACCGAATTCGGTAGAAGGCAATTCTGTCAGATATATATGACATAGCTACTATAGGCTATAGTGAGAAACTTAGAACGAGAATGAAGAACTAAGGAATGGAAGTGATACAAATATGCAACCCTAGAAAATGTGTACCCCATATGGGCTACCCCACTATAGCCTACACAATATTATAATTTGACACACACCCATAGGCAAAGTGGGGGAGAACAAGGGGTCACAAGACCAGTCAAGCAAAGCAGACAAAGCTAAGGGTGGATCACAACGTCACCACACAGTCCGAGCACAAGGTCAAGGCCACAAGGCCAGTTCACATGCAGGAGTACACATATATATATAAGGCTAAACAAGCAAGAGCAGGTATATATATATATGTAAGAGTACAAGTAAGGTCAAGGGGTGAGCAAGTGAGGCAAGACAGGCACAAGACCCAGCTGAGTGCAGAAGCGCTGATGATCACAAGGCGGAAGTGCCTTGGTGAAAACATCAGCAGTGTTGGCCTCAGAGGCCACGTACGCAAGTCGCAACTGACCACGCTGCTGCAACTCACGAGGAAGAAAGTAGCGGAGAGCAATGTGCTTCGTTCTGTGCTCCAGGCGCTGCTCCCGACACAAGGCTAGCATGGCCTTGTTGTCTACGTACAGCACCGGAGGAGAACGAGGCGGCTCTCCGAGGTCAGTCAGCAGGTAGGTAAGCCAGCGAAGCTCCTGTGCAGCCATGGCCCCGGCGTAGATCTCAGCCTCACAACTGCAGCCGAGAACAGAAGACGAGCGAGTAGCCCGCCACGAGACAGAGCCGGAACCAAGGCTGAAGGTGTAACCCTGTGACGACCGCTGCGTAGCCTGGTCGTCTGCCCAAGAAGTGTCCGCGTGCCCAGTGAGGACCACTGGACTCCGCCCTCCAAGCACTAGCCCCATGCCTGACGTACTGCACAAGTAGCGCAACACCCTCTTCGCTGCAGCCATGTGCTCTGGTCGGTGTCTCCCAGGAGCAACATAGCGTGCAAGAATGCTAAGAGGGTATGCAAGGTCAGGTCGTGTGCAGGTCATCAGGTACATGAGGCAGCCAACAAGCTCTGGGTACGGGCCACTCGACTCTACGGACTCATCCGAAGGCAGAGCTGAGAGCGAGTGGCGAGTAGACAGAGGAGTGGCCTGAGGCGAGGAGTACGTGAAGCCGAAGCGCTGAAGGACCTGCTGCACCATGTGTGACTAAGTCAGGGTAATGGTGCGGCGTGCTCTGTCCCGGGTGATCTGCAAGCCAAGGTAGCTGCGCAGTTCACCTAGGTCTGTGCACGTGTGTCTCTTCTGCAGCTCGGACTTCACGTGGGCGAGTCCAGCAGTGTCAGCTGTGGCAAAGACCAAGTCGTCGACGTACACGAGGATGTAGAACGGCGGGAGAGAGGTGTCGGTGCGTAGAAACAGCGACGGGTCAGCAGTAGAGGGAGCAAACCCAAGAGCCGCAAGTGTAGTCCTCAGTGTGTCGTGCCACTCGCGCGGTGCCTGGCGGAGACCGTAGACTGGCCGTCGGAGACTCCACTGGGTGCCAGGAGGGAAAGTCCGAGTGAAGGCAGGTGGACGGCGCAACCAGATCTCCTCGTGCAGGCTACCCTGCAGGAAAGCAGTGCTGAAGTCAAGGGAGTGAAGCTCGTAGTCACGCTGAGCGGCTATGTGTAGCAGCACCCGAAGAGTGGTCATCTCCGGGGTGGGAGAGAAGGTCTGAAAGTAGTCAACTCCCTGCCGCTGACTGAAGCCACGAGCCACGTACCGCGCCTTGAAGACAGGTGGAGAGCCCGGCGGCCGCTTCACCCTGAAGATCCACATGCCACTGACGATGTTCGCCCCAGGAGGGGGAACCGCGTCAACGTAGGTGCCTGTGGACTTCCAGGAAGCCATCTCTGCATCCATAGCTGCCTGCCACTGAGAGGAGTAGGGACCCTCTACGGCCTCCGCGTAAGAGCGCGGAGCCGGGATGTCTAGTGCATCCGGGTCTCCCTCAGGGGTAAGCAGTACGGACGCGAGATGAGGTGAAGCAGCAGCCAGACACTGGAACTCCTCCTGCCTGTCCTCAAGGACGTCCGTGCCAAGAGCACACTCACCCCCGACGAACGGAGGACAGACAGACGCAGACTCAGCAACAAGACTAGCAGCGTAGTCTAGACGATAGCGAGCAGCAAAGTCGACGAGCTCAGCAACAAGAGCAGACGCAGCAGTGGACTCAAAGGAGGGGTTAGTGACGACAGTAGCAAGGAGACGCGTGAGAGTAGGACTGGCAGCATGAAGAGAGTCCGACTCAGGGTCGGCAAGCGCAGGAAGAGAGGACTCAGGAGGAGAGGGCAAGGGGGCATGCAGAGGAGAAGTGGACAGACGCAGAGACATTCGGTGTGTGCCAGGGACAGGAGGAGGACGCTGACGCGAACTGCGACCACTAGTGCGAGCATCATGAACAGGCGACGCAGGACGAGACGCAGGCTCACGACGCTCAGCAAGACCTCCAGTAGGACCAGTGTACGGAGAAGGAGAAGGCAGTGGGGAGGCCGGCGGTAACTGTGACTGTGACTGGACAGGCGGTGGACACTCTAAGGGAGGAGGAAGACAAAGAACCTGCTAAAGGAGCGGAACAAAGTACGGCCGAGGCCGCGCGGCGACTCCAGACACAGCAGGGACAGCACCAGCATCCCCAGCGGCAGCACCAGCGTCAACAGCACCTCCAGCTCCAGTACCTCCCGCAGCACCAGCAGCACCCGCAACAGCAGGACCGGCGCCAGAACTAACACCAGTAGCCTCAGCGCCAACACCCTCAGCAGCTCCGACTCCAGTAGCACTCGCAGGACTAGCACCTCCGAGACCGGCGGCACCAGCACCCTCAGCAGCCGAAGAAGCACCAGCTCCAGTAGTACGCCTCCAGCGCTGGGCAAACCACTCGCGCAGCTCCTGTGGAGAGAGTGGCTCCCGCCGAAGCGAAGCACCCGGAGAACCACCAGGCCCAGCACCGCCAGACGCCACACGAGCAGGTCCAGCGGCCGCGGGCTCCGCACCCCCGGGCTCAGTAGCTCCAGACTCAGCACCCCCAAGCTCAGCAGCTCTAGACGCAGCACCCCCAGGCGAAGGACCCCCAGGCTCAGCACCCCCAGTCGTAGCACCCCCAGGCTCAGCACCCCCAGTCGTAGCACCCCCAGGCTCAGCACCCCCCGGCTCAGCACCCCCAGTCGCAGCACCCCCAGACTCAGCACCCCCAGGCGCAGCACCCACGCGCTCAGCACCCCCAGAGGCAGCACCCCCAGGCTATGAACCCGCAGCAGTACCAGACTCACCAGCAACCTCGACCGGCTCGACTGCATCTACCAGGGACACACCTGAAGGGGCAGGACCCTGAGGGGGGAGGGGGTCTACTGGGGGGGGACCTGGCACAAGGAAGTGCGGTGGCGGGGGGAGGGAAGCAGTGTGGTAGGGGAAGAGGCGGTAGTAGGGGACTGACTCGTCGAACGTGACGTCCTGGGAGGACAGAACACGACGAGAGGTGGGGTGGTAGAACTGCCACCCAGGAGCGTCAGGGGGGAAGCCAAGGAAGACACAAGGAGCAGCACGAGGGGACAGCTTGTCCGCAGACAAGTCGCGGACAAACGCCCGAGATCCCCATACACGGAACGCAGACGCATTGCCGACCTTCCCCGTCCACAGCAAGGCTGGGGAGGTCTCCGGCCTGGAGACCCTGGGGTGAAGGTTGCTCTAATGCGCCGCATACCGAACCGCAAACGGCCACAGAAAATGGGGGGCAGCCGCATGCATCATGGACGTACGAGCTACGTCCATGACCATGCCAATGCGGCGCTCAGCAATCCCATTTTGTTGTGGAGAGTCCGGAAGCGTAAAGGTCTGGCGGATGCCTCGCGCACGACAGTAGGCTTGCAGAAGGCCAGAGGAGAACTCTCCGCCTCGGTCAGAGTGCAGACGCAGAACAGGAAAGTCCGAGCCGAAGCTCCTCCTGAGCTGGAGACGAGCTGCACGGATCCAGTCGATCAACACCTCAGCGACATCACCCTTGCTGCGCAAGGGGAAGACTGTGGTGTAACGCGAGTAGTCGTCAACCACCAGCAGGAAGTAGCGCTCGTGACCCTGTCCACGGACGCGGGCCGGGCCCCACACGTCCATGTGAAGCGTCTGCAGCGGGGCCTCTGTCGGGGGAAACTGAGAGGAGTGAGGGGCAGCCCGGAGCCGCCCCTGTACACAGGTGACACAGGAAGGACCAGGCCCTGGAGGAAGGGGAGGGAGGGACCGGGGGAGACCAGAGACAAGGACACGGGAAGCCATGCCTCGGAGACGAGGCAGGGAGGGGTGACCAAGACGGTGGTGCCACAGGAGAGTCTCGTGAGACAGGAGGCGACACGAGCAGGGGGCAGACTCAGGACCAGACCTGGACGCTGCGGCAAACACCTGACCCGACGCAGCTACCTGGCCAGACGCAGGGATAGGAGGGGACCCAGTGGTCAGGGTGTAGAGGCTCGACCCCGGCCGACGCGAAAACGTGGCCAGGTGCCGGCCCGTGCGTGCGTCCGAGCAGTGGGTCACCCGCTGACTCGCAGGAGTAAACTGGTGAACCCCCGCATCCTGCAGGTCAGCACCACTCACCAAGTTCGTCGAGAACGAGGGGAGGTAAAGACCAGACAAGGTGCCAGAGGGGGCAGCCGGACACGGGAGGACAGTGGAGAACTGAGAGAGGACAGGACCCCCAGAGGGGTCTGCCAGGGAGTCTGCAACCGGCCGACCAAGCGGCGTGAGTGTGGTGCGGTCTCGAAAGAAGGAGCGCGAAGCCCCTGAGTCAAGTGTGAAGGTGAGGGAGGCCGAAGCCGACGCGGTACCTGAGAGCGCAGCCTCACCAGTACCTGAGGGCGCAGACGCGCTGGCACCTAGAGCAGCAGCCTCACTAGCACCTAGCGCAGCAGTACCAATGCCCGGGTCGGGCGGGAAACACCGGTAACAGTCACCCTCATCACAAATAGTCACAGCATACATGGCAGCAAGGATAGCATCAAAGTCAAGATCATAGATAGCAACACCTGCCCTAGACAGCTCTCCCCAGCGGGGGATCTCACTAGCATCCGGGAACTGCTGACGCCAAGCGTCCGTCAGGCGGCCAAAGCAGCGCTGGGTGGGGTGGGCACCCCCACACTGCTCACCAGCGCGGTCGCCGGAGCGAAGGACGTAGGTGCACGGACCAAAACCCCCACCACGCTGACGCTGCGTGTACCACTCACGGAGCTGCTGAGGAGGGTAGATGTCCCAAGAACGCTGCTGCTGCTGCTGCTACTGCTGCTGCTGCTGCTGCTGCTGCTGCTGCTGCTGGCGCTAACCACCACCGGAGCCGCTCCGCTGCGAAGCACCACCCCGACCAGCTCCACCTCCTCCACCACCGCCGCCTCCACCTCCGCCACCACCGCTGCCTCCGCTCCCACCGCTACCGCCTCCGCCGACTCCGCCTCCGCTGCTGCCACCGCCACCTCCACCCCCGCCGCCACTCCCACCGCCACCCCCACTCCCTCCGCCGCCTCCACCGCCACCTCCAGCACCCCCGCTAGCTCCACCCGCGCCCTTGCCCCCCTTGCCCTTGCCAGAGCGACGTCTCCCGCTAGGGGCAGACGCCGCACCGACCGACTCAAGACCAACGAGGTCGGCCGCAGCAGCAGAGGCGACAGAGGGCAACAGGGGGGAAGGGGAACACCCCTCAAAGATGGGGGTGCGAGGGTCACCACGAGAGGCTCCTACATCGACTATGCTCTTTTCCGCTGCTAGGAGGGCCTTCTCAAGGAGGTCAATAGTGAGAGTGGTGGGACAGACTGAGAGGAAGTGGTCCCTGACTACGCGAAGGGAGTCAGGGAGGCGGGTGACTAAATAATAGAGAGTGATGTACATGGGGGGGGGGGGTTCTTGGCGCAGAACTCAGCAAGAAGCGCGGCGCGGTAGCGAGTGTCACTAGTGCGGAGGTTCGTAATGAGGTCAGCGACTGTGGGAAAGGCAGCAAGGTCAGGGAAGAGGTACGGTAGCATGAGGCGGCTCAGTGCAGTAGTGGCAGGGGAAGAGTAGCGCGCAACTACAGCGTCGTACAAGGTCTGAGCACTCTTGTATTGACTAAAGTGCGCGCGCTCAGTGGTAGGAAGGTGGCGACGCACAGCAAGACGTGCAGCTGCATCGCGCGTGGCCCACGGGGAGCGAACAGTAGGGTCAGCATCAGCAGCAGGGGCAGGAGAGGCGCCAGAGGTGAGGTCAAAGAGAGAGAGACTGTCTGCCCTATCGCACTGTAAGAACAGCTGCAGATCGTCGACCCAGACCTCAAAGTCAATGGCTCGACCCTCAGCGTCAAAAGCGAGGACACTAGGGGTAGCCATGACAACAGTAGACCAGCAGTGCAAGTAGTAGGGGGAGGGCAGTGCAGTGACAGAGGGGCTGTGCTCACCGGACAGGGCTGCTCGGGCGGCTCAGCGGTATGGCGGCTCGGCAGCTCGGCGGCTCGGCTGCACGGCGGCTGGGCGGCTCGGCTGCAGGGCGACCGGGCGGCTCGGCGGCTCGGCTGCTGTGCTGCTGGGCGGCTCGGTTGTGCTGTTGCAGGGCGGCGCGGCGGTCGGCGGCTCGGCTGGCAGGGGCGGCTCGGGCGGCTCGGGTGGTGGGCGGCGCTGCAGTAGTTGAAGGCGGCGGGGAGGCAATTGAAGGCGGCGGGGCCGCAAGTGAGAGCGGCGGGCCGCAGGCGAGGGTGGGGACGGGCCGCAACTGAAGGCGGCGGGGCCGCAGGTGAGGGCGGCGGGGCTGCAACTGGGGGCGGCGGGGCCGCAGGTGAGGGCGGCGGGGCCACAACTGAGGGCGGCGGAGCCGCAGGTGAAGGCGGCGGGGCCGCAACGGAGGGTGGCGGGGCCGCAGGTGAGGGCGGCGGGGCCGCAAATGAGGGCGGCGAGGCCGCAGGTGAGGGCGGCGACGGGGCCGCAGCTGAGGGCGGCGTTGGGGCCGCTGGGGAGAGCGGCGACGGGCCGCAGGTGAGGGCGGGGACGGGGCCGCAGCTGAGGGCGGCGACGGGCCGCAGGTGAGAGCGGCGACGGGGCCGCAGCTGAGGGCAGCGACGGGGCCGCAGCTGAGGGCGTCGGGGCCGCAACAGAGGGCAGCGGGGCCGCAAGTGAGGGCGGCGGGGCCGCAATTGAGGGCGGCGACGGGCCGCAGGTGAGGGCGGCGACGGGGCCGCAGGTGAGGGCGGCGACGGGGCCGCAACCGAGGGCGGCGACGGGCCGCAAGTGAGGGTGGCGAAGCCGCAACTGAGGGCGGCGGGGCCGCAAGTGAGGGCGGCGGGGCCGCAAGGGAGGCCGCTAGGGCGGCTCGACGAATGCAGAGAGGGGAGCGCGACTCGGGGAGCGCGCTCCGGGCACGAAAAAAAAAGTTCGATGTGGTGGGCCCTAGGCACAGTTCCCTTGAGGGAACCTGCTCGATACCATGAGAAACTTAGAACGAGAATGAATCACTAAGGAATGGAAGTGATACAAATATGCAACCCTAGAAAATGTGTACCCCATATGGGCTACCCCACTATAGCCTACACAATATTATAATTTGACATATAGTGGGGTAGCACATATGGGGTACAGCTTTCTAGGGTTTGTACTTGTACCCAACTTTCCCTTAGTCATTTCATTCACGTTCAATTCCACATGGTATAGAGCACGTTCCCTCTGGGAACTGTTCCTAGGGACCACCGTTTTTATTTTCCTGCCCGGAGCGCGCTCAGCCTCTGCCCGAGTCGCGCTCCCCTCTCACGACTCCGTCGCGCCGCCCTTACGACCCCGTCGCGCCGCCCTTACGACCCCGTCGCGCCGCCTTCGCGGCCCCGTCGCGTCGCGCCTCCCTAGCGGCCCCGTCGAGTCGTCCTTGCGACCCCGTCGCGCCGCCCTCGCGGCCCCATCACGACGTGCCGCCCTCGCGGCCTCGTCGCGCCGCCCACGCGACCCCGTTCCGCCGCCCTCGCGGCCCCGTCGGGTCGCGCCGCCCTTGCGGCCCTTTCGCGCCGCCCTCGCGGCCTCTTCGAGCCGCCCTAGCGACCCCTCCAAGCCGCCCTCGTGGCCCCGTCGCCTACCCTTGCGGCCCCAGCGCCTACTCTCGCGGCCTCGTCGCCTACCCTGCGGCCCCGTCGCCTACCCTGCTGGCCCCGGCGCCTACCCTGCAGCCCCGGCGCCTATCCTGCGGCTCCGTCGCCTACCCCTGCGGCCCCGGCACCGCCCTTCCCAGCCCCGGCGCCGCCTCTGCTGGCCCCGTCGCCTACCCCTACGGCCCCGGCACCGCCCTTCCCGGCCCCGGCGCCGCCCTTCCCGGCCCCGGCGCCGCCTCTGCTGGCCCCGTCGCCTACCCTGCGGCCCCGGCGCTACCCTTCCCGGCCCCAGCGCTGCCTCTACCGGCCCCGCCGCCGTCCCCACGCGGCCCCGCCGTCCCCACCAAGCCGCCGGCGCCGCCGACCTACTGCCGAGCTGCCCGAGCCACCTGAGCCGCCCGAGCCGCCGCGCCACCTGAGCCGCCCGAGACGCCGGGTCGCTGAGCTGCCGAGCCGCTGTACCGCCGAGCCGCCAGCGCCGCCGAGTCGCCGAGCCGCAGTTGCTGCCGAGCCGCCCGAGCCGCCGAGCCGCCGAACCGCCGAGCCGCCCTGTCCGGTAAGAGCAACGCCTCTGTCACTGCACTGCCCTTACCCTACTGTTCGCGCTGCTAGTCTACTGCTGTCATGGCTACCCCTAGTGTCCTCGCTTTTGACGCTGAGGGTCGGGCCATTGACTTTGACGTCTGGGTAGATGACCTGCAGCTTTTCCTACAGTGCGATAGGGCAGACGGTCTCTCCCTCTTTGACCTCACTTCTGGTGCCTCTCCTGCCCCTGCTACTGATGCTGACGCCACTGTTCGCTCATAGTGGGCCACACGCGATGCTGCTGCACGTCTTGCTGTGCGTCGCCACCTGCCTACCTCTGAGCGTGCGCACTTTAGTCAGTACAAGAGTGCTCAGACCTTGTACGACGCTGTAGTTGCACGCTACTCCTCCCCTGCCACTGCTGCACTGAGCCGCCTCATGCTACCGTACCTCTTCCCTGACCTTGCTGCCTTTCCCACAGTCGCTGACCTCATTACGCACCTCCGAACTAGTGACACTCGCTACCGCGCTGCGCTTCCTGCTGAGTTCTGCGCCAAGAACCCCCCCCCCCCCCCATGTACATCACCCTCTACTACATAGTCACCGGCTCCCTGACTCCCTTCGCGTAGTCACGGACCACTTCCTCTCAGTTTGCCCCACCACTCTCACCGTTGACCTCCTCGAGAAGGCCCTCCTAGCAGCAGAGAAGAGCATAGTCGCTGTAGGAGCCTCTCGTGGTGACCCTCGCACCCCCATCTTTGAGGGGTGTTCCCCCTCCCCTCTTTTGCCCTCTGTTGCCTCTGCTGCTGCGGCCGACCTCGTTGGTCTTGAGTCGGTCGGTGCGGCGTCTACCCCTAGCGGGAGACGCCGCCCTGGCAAGGGCAAAGGGGGCAGGGGCGCTGGAGGAGCTAGCGGGGGCGGTGGAGGCGGCGGTGGAGGCGGCGGAGGGGGTGGGAGTGGCGGTGGGGGTGGTGGCGGGGGTGGAGGTGTCGGTGGCGGCAGTGGAGGCGGAGGCGGCGGCGGTGGTGGCGGTGGGAGCGGAGGTGGCGGAGGTGGCGGCGGTGGAGGAGGCGGTGGCGGAGGAGGTGGAGCTGGTCGGGGTGGCGCTGCGCAGAGGGTCGGCTGCGGTGGTGGTCAGCGCCAGAAGCAGCACCAGCAGCAGCGCACTCGTGACATCCCCCCCCCCTCAGCAGCTCCGTGAGTTGTACGCTGCACGCCAGCGGGGTGGGGGTACTGGTCCGTGCACCTACGTCCTACGCACCGGCGACCGCGCGGGTGAGTAGTGCGGGGGTGCGCACTCCACCCAGCGCTGCTTTGGCCGCCTGAGGGACGCTTGGCGTCACCAGTTCCCGGAGGCCGCTTAGATCCCCCGCTGGGGCGAGCTGTCTAGGGCGGGAGTAGCTTTCTTTGACCTTGACTTTGATGCTATTCTTGCTGCCATGTATGCTGTGACTATTAGTGATGAGGGTGACTGTTACCGGTGTTTTCCGCCTGACCCGGGCGTTGAGACTGCTGCTCTAGGTACAGGTTGTCAGAATGTTATGCTCTAGCCTGTAGTGGGGTGCTCTATAGCGAGTAAAACCATTCTAGGGTTTGCTATTTGTATCCTCATTCTTGCTAGTGTAACCCCCTCTTTTGCCTAAACTTTCTCTTGCCTAGCTAGGGCTTTCCTAGCTATGGCTCCTACTTCTGCCTATTACTTTCACACTGGTGAGGCTGCTGCTCTAGGTGCTAGCGAGGCTGCTGCTCTAGGTGCTCGTGCGTCTACTCCCTCAGGTGCTGGTGAGTCTGCTCTCTCAGGTACTGCGTCGGCTTCGGCCTCCCACACCTTCACCCTTGACTCGGGGGCTTCTTGCTCCTTCTTTCGAGACCGCACCATACTCACGCCGCTTGGCCGGCCAGTTGCAGTCTCTCTGGCAGACCCCTCCAGGGGTCCTGTCCTTGCTCACTTCTCCACCGTCCTCCCGTGTCCGGCGGCCCCCTCTGGCACCCTGTCTGGCCTTTACTTCCCCTCGTTCTCTACGAACTTGGTGAGTGGTGCGGACCTACAGGATGCGGGGGTTCACCAGTTCACTCCTGCGAGTCAGCGGGTGACCCACTGCACGGACGCTCGGACAGGCCGACACTTGGCCACGTTTACACGTCGGCCGGGGTCAGGCTGTACACACTGACCACTACGTCTCCTCCAGTCACTGCGTCTGGTCAGGTAGCTGCGTCGGGTCAGGTGTTTGCTGCAGCGTCCAGGTCTGGTCCTGAGTCTGCCCCCTGCTCGTGTCGCCTCCTGTCTCACGAGACTCTCCTCTGGCACCACCGTCTTGGTCACCCCTCCCTGCTTCATCTCCGAGGCATGGCCTCTCGTGTCCTTGTCTCTGGTCTTCCCCGGTCCCTCCCTCCCCTTCCTCCGGGGCCTGGCCCTACCTGCGTCCCCTGTGTCGAGGGGTGGCAGCGGGCTGCCCCTCACTCCTCCCAGTTTCCTCTGACAAAGGCCCCGCTGCAGACGCTTCACATGGACGTGTGGGGCCTGGCCCGCGTCCGTGGACAGGGTCACGAGCGCTACTTCCTGCTGGTGGTTGACGACTACCCGCGTTACACCACAGTCTTCCCCTTGCGCAGCAAGGGTGATGACACTGAGGTGTTGATCGACTAGATCCGCGCAGCTCGTCTCCAGCTCAGGCAGAGCTTTGGCTCGGACTTTCCTGTTCTGCGTCTGCACTCTGACAGAGGCGGAGAGTTCTCCTCTGGCCTTTTGCAAGCCTACTGTCGTGCACGAGGCATTCGTCAGACCTTCACGCTTCCGGACTCTCCACAGCAAAATGGGATTGCTGAGCGCCGCATTGGCATGGTCATGGACGTCGCCAGTACGTCCATGATGCATGCGGCTGCCCCCCATTTTCTATGGCCGTTTGCGGTTCGGTACGCGGCGCATCAGATCATCCTTCACCCCAGGGTCTCCATGCCGGAGACCTCCCCAGCTTTGCTGTGGACGGGGAAGGTTGGCGATGCGTCTGCGTTCCGTGTCTGGGGATCTCGGGCGTTTGTCCGCGACTTGTCTGCGGACAAGCTATCCCCTCGTGCTGCTCCTTGCGTCTTCCTTGGCTTCCCCCCTGATGCGCCAGGGTGGCAGTTCTACCACCCCACCTCTCGCCGTGTTCTGTCCTCCCAGGACGTCACGTTTGACGAGTCGGTCCCCTACTACCGCCTCTTCCCCTACCGCACTCCGTCCCTCCCCCCGTCACCGCTCTTCCTTGTGCCAGGTCCCCCCCCGGTAGACCCCCTCCCCCCTCAGGGTCCTGCCCCTTCAGGTGTGTCCCAGGTAGACGCAGTCGAGCCTGTCGAGGTTACTGGTGACTCTGGTGCTGCTGAGGGTGCTGAGCCTGGGGGTGCTGACTCTGGAGGTGCTGAGCGTGTGGGTGCTACGCCTGGGGGTGCTGAGCCTGAGGGTGCTACTACTGGGGGTGCTGAGCCTGGGGGTGCTGAGCTTGGGGGTGCTACCACTGAGGGTGCTGAGCCTGGGGGTGCTGAGCCTGGGGGTGCTATGCCTGGGGGTGCTGAGCCTGGGGGTGCTATGCCTGGAGGTGCTGAGCCTGGGGGTGCGGAGCCTGAGGGAGCTGGGCCTGCTCGTGTGGCGTCTGGCAGTGCTGGGCATGGAGGTTCTCCGGGTGCTTCGTCTCGGCGGGAGCCACTCTCTCCACAGGAGCTGCGCGAGTGGTTTGCCCGGCGCTGGAGGCGTGCTGCTGGAGCTAGAGGTTCTTCGGCTGCTGAGGGTGCTGGTGCCGCGGGTCCCGCAGGTGCTCGTACTGGGAGTACTGGAGCTGCTGGGCCTGCGGGTAAGACTGGAGCTGGAGCTGCTGAGGGTGTTGGCGCTGAGGCTACTGCTGTCGGTCCTGGAGGAGGTCCTGCTGGGGGTGCTACTGGTGCTGCTGGAGGTACTGGAGCTCGAGGTGCTGCTGGCGCTGGTGCTGCCGCTGGGGGTACTGGTGCTGTCCTTGCTGTGTCTTGAGTCGCCGCGCGGCCTCCGCCGTACTTCGTTCCGCTCCTTTAGCAGGTGCTTGGTCTCCCGCTATCTACTGGTCCTCCTCCTCCCTTATTGTGTCCACAGCTTGTCCCGTCACAGTTACAGTTACAGCCGGCCTCCCCACTGCCTGCTCCTTCTCCCTACACTGGTCCTACTGGAGGTCTTTCTGAGCGTCGTGAGCTTGCGTCTCGCCCTGAGTTGCCTGTCCGTGCTGCTCGCACTAGTGGTCGCGGTTCGCGTCAGCGTCCTCCTCCTGTCCCTGGCATGCACCGGATGTCTCTGCGTCCGTCCACTGCTCCTCTGCGTGCCCCTTTGCCTTCTCCTCATGAGTCTTCTCTTCCTGCTCTTGCCGACCCGGAGTCGGAATCTCTTCGTGCTGCCAGTCCTACTGTCACGCGTCTCCTTGCTACTGTCGTCACTGAGTCCACTGCTGCGTCTGCCCTAGTTGCTGAGCTCGTCGACTTTGCTGCTCGCTGTCGTCTAGACTACGCTGCTAGTCTTGTCGCTGAGTCTGAGTCTGTCTGTCCTCCGTCCGTCGGGGGTGAGTGTGCTCTTGGCACGGACGTCCTTGAGGACAGGCAAGAGGAGTTCCAGTGTATGGCTGCTACTTCACCTCATCTCGTGTCCGTACTGCTTACCCCTGAGGGAGACCCGGATGCACTTGACATCCCGACTCCGCGCTCTTACGCGGAGGCCGTAGAGGGTCCTTACTCCTCTCAGTGGTAGGCAGCTATGGATGCAGAGATGGCTTCCTGGAAGTCCAGAGGCACCTACGTTGACGCGGTTCCCCCACCTGGGGCGAACATCGTCAGTGGCATGTGGATCTTCAGGGTGAAGCGGCCGCCAGGTTCTCCACCTGTCTTTAAGGCGCGGTACGTAGCTCATGGCTTCAGTCAGCGGCAGGGAGTTGACTACTTTCAGACCTTCTCTCCCACCCCGAAGATGACCACTCTTCGGGTGCTGCTGCACATAGCCGCTCAGCGCGACTACGAGCTTCACTCTCTTGACTTCAGCACAGCTTTCCTGCAGGGCAGCCTGCACGAGGAGATCTGGCTGCGCCGCCCACCTGGCTTCACTGGGTCGTTCCCTCCTGGTACCCAGTGGAGCCTCCGGCGGCAAGTCTACGGTCTCCGCCAGGCACCGCGTGAGTGGCACGACACACTGACGACTACACTTGCGGCTCTTGGGTTTGCTCCCTCCACTGCCAACCCGTCGCTGTTTCTGCGCACCGACACTTCTCTGCCGCCGTTCTACATCCTCGTGTACGTCGACGACTTGGTCTTTGCCACAGCTGACACTGCTGGACTCGCCCACGTGAAGTCCGAGCTGCAGAAGAGACACACGTGCACAGACCTGGGTGAACTGCGCAGCTACCTTGGCTTGCAGATCACCCGGGACAGAGCACGCCGCACCATTACCCTGACTCAGTCACACATGGTGTAGCAGGTCCTTCAGCGCTTCGGCTTCACGTACTCCTCGCCTCAGGCCACTCCTCTGCCTACTTGCCACTTGCTCTCAGCTCTGCCTTCGGATGAGTCCGTAGAGTCGAGTGGCCCGTACCCAGAGCTTGTTGGCTGCCTCATGTACCTGATGACCTGCACACGACCTGACCTTGCATACCCTCTTAGCATTCTAGCACGCTATGTTGCTCCTGGGAGACACAGACCGGAGCACATGGCTGCAACGAAGAGGGTGTTGCGCTACTTGTGCATTACGTCGGGCATGGGGCTTGTGCTTGGAGGGCAGAGTCCAGTGGTCCTCACTGGGCACGCAGACGCTTCTTGGGCTGACGACTAGGCTACGCAGCGGTCGTCACAGGGTTACACCTTCAGCCTTGGTTCCGGCTCTGTCTCGTGGCGGGCTACCCGCTCGTCTTCTGTTCTCGGCTCCAGTTGTGAGGCTGAGATCTACGCCGGGGCCATGGCTGCACAGGAGCTTCGCTTGCTCACCTACCTGCTGACTGACCTCGGAGAGCCGCCTCGTTCTCCTCCAGTGCTGTACGTAGACAACAAGGCCATGCTGGCCTTGTGTCGAGAGCAGAGACTGGAGCACTGAACGAAGCACATTGCTCTCCGCTACTTCCTTGCTCGTGAGCTATAGCAGCGTGGTCAGCTGCGCCTTGCGTACGTGGCCTCTAAGGCCAACACTGCTGATATCTTCACCAAGGCACTTGCGCCTTGTGATCATCAGCGCTTCTGTACTAAGCTGGGTCTTGTGCCTACCTTGCCTCACTTGCTCACCCCTTGACCTTGTTTGCACTGTTGCATATATATATGCACCTGCTCTTGCTTGTCTAGCCTTGTATATATATGTAATCCTGCATGTGAACTGGCCTTGTGGCCTTGAACTTCTGCTCGGAATGTGTGGTGACTTTGTGATCCACCCTGAGCTTGGTTTGCTTTGCTTGACTAGTCTTGTGACCCCTTGTTCTCCCCCACTTTGCCTATGGGGGTGTGTCAGATTTATATGACATAGCTACTGTAGGCTATAGTGGGGTAGCACATATGAGGTACAGCTTTCTAGGGCTTGTACTTGTACCCAACTTTCCCTTAGTCATTTCATTCTCGTTCAATTCCACAAATTCGGTGGCAACCGGAAAGCCAGAATTCGGTGCACGCAACCTAGCTCGGTGCTATAACTATAATAAAATATAGGAAAGCACCTAGCCTAGGAAATCCTGCAATTCATGCATGCATATAATTATCCTATGCTAGAAATAGCATCATAAAGTAAAGGCAAGCAAGCATAGCTGGCATAAGCCGTCGTACTCTCACACGTCCCCCCCTCAAAGCTGGGTGGCGTGAGAAACACCCTGCTTGAGAAGATAGTTCTTGAGAGCACGGCGTGCGTTGCCCATATCAGCTTCTGCAACCCAACTATCCTTAGTGGGGTCGTATCCCTTCCAGCGTTTCAGGAACTCGAGGGTCTTGCCGCCGCGGTGCCGATGAGTGAGAACGCGCTCCACTTCGTACTCTGGTTCAACCTGTACGAGAACCGGTGGTGGTGGCGGTAGCTGCCGTCCCTGGAACTGTTGGTTGGGGTCCTTGTAGGGCTTCAGTAGCTGAACATGGAAAGTGTTGTGAAGCTTCCATGTATTTGGTAAGCGCAAGCGGAATGTAACTGGTGTCACCTGTGCCTCAACGAGAAAAGGACCACAGAAGCGAGGCCGGAGCTTGGATGGGAGGTGAGACAGGTTCAAGTTGTGTGTGTCAAGGAGCACCTGATCTCTGACTGCTACTGAGTGATCTCGTCGCTGACGATCGGCATACTGCTTCTGGGAGTTCTGCATCGTGGTGAGACGTCGTTGAGTCTTCTCCCATAGCTGCTGCATGGTGGTGATGAAGTCATGTGCGGCTTGGACGTGTGCCGGTGTGGTTGGCTGCTGTGGTGTGAGTGGTTCCCGTCCGTAACACAGGAAGAAAGGATTTTTTCCTGTGGCCGCATGTGACGCGTTGTTGTAAGCGAACTCTAGGGTCGGTAACTGTGTGTCCCAGTGGGTGACGACGTCTTTGCAAGCTGTGCGCAATAAGTGTTCAACCACCTGATTGAGTCGCTCGGTCTGTCCGTCAGTCTGTGAGTGGTATGCTAAGGACATCGCAAGTTTAGTCCCCAATAATCCCATGAGCTCCTTCCAGAACTTACTCGTAAATTTGGGGTCTCTGTCTGAGATGAGTGTAGCAGGGATGCCGTGGATGGTGATGATGTGGTCAAAGAAGAGGCGAGTAGTTGCTTCAGCTGTGGCTGTGGCGTTGGTCGGTATGAGGTGACGAATTGCTGCACGTCTGCTGCCATCCCGGGCCAGTAGTTATTCTTCGCTATCCCTGCTAACGTCTTGTTGCTCCCGAAATGTCCCGCGTATGGTACGTCGTGAAACTCCTCCAATAGGATCTGCCGTAGCGGGGCGTAATTCGGTACCCAAATCGTTCCTGAACCCTTCCTTACAGCTAAGTCCTTCTTCCACTGTAACAGCTTCTTACTGAGGTAGGCGATGGGCTGCAAACTGCGTTCGTGATGCTGCATCAGTACTGCTCCGACTGCTTGGTCACTAGCGTCTGCTTCCACCACGTAGTCTCTGTCTGGATCCGGTAGGATGAGTACTGGCGCTGTAGTCAGTGCTGTCTGTTTGTTTAGTGCGCGGTAGACGATGCACATCCGTAAACTACCGTCTAGCTTTGGAGTGAGAAGAACTGGTGCACCGTAGGGAGAGGTGGATGGGCGGATCAGTTGTCTGTCCAGTAGATACTCTTTCTGTTTTTTCATGTCTATCAGTTCAGTCGGACTCAGTCGGTATGGTGCACGTGAGACGGGTTTCGCACCTGGTTCCTCCACGATCTTGTGCTCGTGGGTGCGTGCTGGAGGTACGCCTGCGGGTAGGTCGTCGGGCATCATATCCTTGTACTGCTCCAAGACCTCCTCCTCTGCTGCTGCCATAACCAGTGCTAAGTAACCCGTGTTACTCTCGTTCACTGTCCGTTCGAACCGTGCCAGTGTCGTTTCAGGAACGCTCCCTGTATCCATCCAGCTTCGCAGCTCCACTCGTTTCCCGTTGTTGTAGATGCACGTTTTCCGGTTGACCCAGTCGATCTCGGGGTTGAACCGCTTCTGAAAATCTCGCCCCAAGATGAAATCTAATCCCTTGATGTTCGTGATCGGCAACGTCGGCTTCCACCTCAACGCCCCTATCTGCAGCTGCAGTGTTGACTTGCCGTGGATGGGAAGCTTCGTACCGTCCACCATCGTTGTTGTAAACTGGGTTTCTTCTGAGGATTCTCCAATTTTCTCCAACGTCCCGCGGTCGCACACCGAGTGGGACGCACCACTGTCCACCAGGGCCTGGAGGCGACGCCCGTTGCAGATCACCTCGAGTACTAGTGGTTGCTGCTGCTCCGAGTATCCGTAGATGGTATCGCTTATAGGATCGTAGGGTACGTCGAATATGTTTTCCCTAGGTCCTGCGCTCGAAGATGTAGCTTCAGTATCAGTTTTCAACAGAGAAAGGTTAGAAGGATTTATCCGAGGCCGATTCGGTTTTCTTGGGCCTGGAACCTTCCACTAAGCCTTTGCAGCTGTGTAGGCTTCATCTGTGGGGAACAGGGAGCCTTTAAACAGTGCTGCTGGGAGAGAATATTAACTCCTCGGAAGTAGGGTCCCCATAATACACGGTACCGGTTTAATTTCTGACTCTCCCTTAATAAAGGCTTGAAACCCACGAGAAGTAATATTCTTACTTGTCGGGGTATACGGCTGGAGTTTCCCGGTCGGTGCTGGGTCTTGTTTCGCGGATCCTCCGTTAGTCGCGGCGATTTCCCCTGGTGCCGGCTGGTCGTGACATTTTAAATTTGCGCCACCATATTCTCCTTTTTTCGCCCTCTCCGAAGTTGCCACGTTGTCCGTTTTCTGCTTCGGGGGTGCCGCACTGTTCTTGTCCTTCAGCTCCGCACACCTTCTCTTCATTTTCCAACACGCCAAGATACGATGTCCTGTAGCGCCGCAAAATTTGCACGTCTCATTATTTGCTAGCCGCTGCTCCACATCGCCCTCGTCGTTCTCCATCGGGTCGGCAGTCGTGGGTGGTGCCAATCGCCCCATGCCAATAGTTGGCTTGTTGCGTCGTGTTCCGTAGTAGCTACTGTTCAACGTGTCGAGCTGTTCGATCAGTGCTGCCGGAAATTGCGCCCACGTCCCCTCGCCTTGGACTATTCTGTTGTTGATCCACTCTAGAGCTGGGCCTCGTAAAAGTGTTGGTGCGAGCCGTATGCGCATTGCGTCTTTTGTCGGGGTCGTGCATCCAACAGCTTCGAAGTAAATTTCGAGTTCAGCTACAAATCGACGAACGTCGTTCCTTTTTACTGTAGGATCGAACGTCGTTCCTTTTTACTGTAGGATCGAATTCTAGGTGCTGGTCGACTTACTGCGAGTCAAGTTGACTATAGGATCGACGAGCGCGAATTCTGTAGGTCGCGTAAATCTCTCCAAGCAAAATTCGTGTCCGATCTTGGCCGTGGAGGAGAAAATTTATCCGACGGTCCAAATTCCAACTTGTTTGGGTGAAATTCTCAGGGCCGTTGAGATGAAACTCGATCGAACGGTCGAAAATCCAACCAATAAATCTGAGGGGTGTTCGAAAACCGAATCGAGGGGGACTTAGAAAAATTGCGCGGAACTGGTTTTACGGACCCATATCGGCGCTTTCGTCGTCGCCCCCACGGTTATTAAAGGCCGGAACTAAGCGGTTGAAGACCTCGCGTGTAGACCCGCTCTGATTACCAAGTGTGAGGATCTAGGATCAAGCTCAAAAAAGAGAATTGAAATTGAATGAATTGAATGAATCACCTGGGTACAACACGAGGCTATATATAGGCTCGACACAAGGCCCCGTAACCAGGTGTTACGCGAAGGTTCCGCGGGCCGCGTAGCGTCCCGAACAGATCCTTACCGAATTC